GAAGGTCCGGGGCCCAGCCCCGTTGCAGATTTGCAAGAACGAGTACAAGTGCGTTGCCAGCTCTGTGTTTCTTGTCTTGTTGAGCCCTGGAGCCCCTCAGCCGTGGGCCGTGCAAGTGTAGCATCCTGCTCCTTGTTGCATAGTGTGCTGTCAAGGTGCTGCAAGCATCGACACAGTTGCACTGAAACGCCAATGGGTTATAAAACATTCGAGCGAATCATCTGTGCGAGAGCGTTCGGTTTGTGCTTGCAGTGGTTGAGTTCGAGCTGTGGACATGTGCAGTTGGCGCCTTGAGCATAAACTCTTGCAGTGACGTGGTTCACAATAACCAAAAAAAATGAGTTTTGGAAAATGCTTTTGGATTGTCTGACCCAAGGCTTTAATGCATGTCAATAAACCCGCTTTGCTTCAAGCTAGTCACTCTCCAACCAGCAGCACTTTGATGTTGCGTGGTGTAGGACTTACCTGAACCGTGCTTGCCCAGCCGTTAAGTTCTTTTATGCTTGTGCGCTGTCGTCTACCTTCAGGCGCATTCCAGCGCCTGTGATCGACCGCATGATCTTTTCGAGCCGTCGCTTTTTTATTGCAAAAGCATTGCAAAGATCTCAGAATTTTTAGACATACTGTTATTGCCTGGCGTTGACGAGGAAGCCGCAATTGCAACTTCGCTCAGAGCTTCGTCCTCCTTTGTATTCGGTTTAGGGTTTAGGGTTTAGGGTTTCGGGTTTAGGGTTTAGGGTTTAGGGTTTGTGGGTAAAACTCAGGGGGGTGGGAGTGTTGTTGTCCTTCCCGCGCACATCCACCAAGCACTCTCAGAAAGCAGTCGAACATTTGGGAGCTTGAGGGCACAGGTTTTGAAGAGTGAAAAGCGAGCTCACGTTGAAGTTGGGAACACAGGTTTTGGCATCAAATGCGAACAATGAAAGTCAACTAATGACTGGGTGGGTGTCTGCAGTGAGCTGGTCTCATGTTGTTGGAATGAACCGTGATCACTGTTGCATTGTTTTTTCAGTGGATTTTTGGGGCTTTGATCCAGATAACATCAGAGGCCATGGGGATGACATTCCATTTTAGACATGAATCTCGAATATGAACAGTTCCACCAGCTACAAGTAGCAGATCCTTCCGCCCTCATCTTCAGAAGGTGCCAGGCCCAGGCCCCCTTAAGCCCATAGGGTTTAGGGTTTAGGGTTTAGGGTTTAGGGTTTAGGGTTTAGGGTTTAGGCCACAATCCCCAAATGCCCAAAGCCCTGGCTTTTCTTTTTGGCCACAGCGATGACGGCTTTCAGACGCTGCGGTGAATGGCGGGGGAGGCCTGGAGAAGGTCAAGTGCTGCCTTTGTTGACCTTGTTTCGCTGTATGGTTCGGGTTTGAGGTTGGGGAGCTGTTTAGTTGACCTCTCAGCATATCCTCATGCACGTCAGCTGTTTACTAACTTCTGGAATAGATGTTTCTACAACAGCACAGGAGTTTCCTTTCCCCTCTCCGTTGGTTCATCAAGAAGAGTGGCCCCAAGCCCTGAAGCCGAAGACCCTACCCTACACCCCTCTTTCTCTCAGTTACCATTTGCTTTCCCATATACCCCCATATACACACAAGCATATTCACATGGCGCATCGTAGCTTTCGTGTCATTCCCGTTTTCACCCCTAAACCCTAAACCCTAAACCCTAAACCCTAAACCCTAAACCCTAAACCCTAAACCCTAAACCCTAAACCCTAAACCCTGCAGCTCAGGGGCCCCAGAGACCGGCCGGCAAACCCGCCGTTTGGGCAGAGGCTGGTCCGCCACAGCCGTTGGAGGGTTTGGGGTTTCGGGTGTACCAAGGGTTTAGGATTCATGTAGGTCAGAGATAGGCCTCCAGCCGATTCGCAGGACTTTCCGGTAGGTTTACAACACCCGAAGCCAGCCATGGCGCGAGCTCTCCCGCTGGCCTTGGCCGTGATGGCCTCGGGTCAGCAGGCGCTGGAGGCGGAGGTGACCTCAACCGAAGCTGCTACTACTACGATGATGGCTGCGACTACGACTCCGAAGGAGTTGGACGACGTGACCTGGACCTGCGCCTCGCTCTTGATCGCTTTCGTGGTCTTCTCCGGCTTCTTAGCCTGCCTCCTGCACTGGAACAACAAAGATATCAGGAAGGAGGCCGGGGCCCGGGATTTAAACGAAACACCGAAAAACCCTTTAAGGAAGTAACCCTAAACCCTAAACCCTAGACCCTAAACCCTAAAGCTTGAACAAAAAACCGAAGTCCCACAAGAGGCCTGGTCCTTGGTGAACACGACCATCTCAATCTTCTGTGCCGCTGGCATCGACTTTGCCTTCTATCGGTTAATCAGGTGGGAGTTTCCGAAAATAAGGGGCACCTTATTCTGGGGTCCTTAAGCAAGAAGGATCCTACTAGTTAGGGTGCTATATTAGGCTCCCCTATTTGGAAGCCCCCAGGTTGGTTCTCCCAGAGGACCAAAGGGAAGCTCCAGAGCAGAGCTGGTGGTTTCTGAGCCTGGTTTTGGGGTTCACCTGTCTCGCACCTCTGATGCTAAACCACAAACTTCTGTCCATCGATGACGTCGATGAAGATCAGCATCAAAAGTTGTTCGCCTGGAGCACCATGGGTGGCCACGTTTGTGCTTTCCTGGCCGTCTTGTATTTTGGCCTTCTGCCACATGCGAAGGTCCACTTCGAAGGGCCGCCTTGGATCTCCCTCCCAGTCTGGGTTTGGCTTCTGCCTCTGCTTGCCTTCGTCTTCTTTTTCCTGGTCATGAAGCTCATCGGCTGGCTGGCGAGGTGCCGTGGCCAGGATCACAAGCACATGCAAGCCCATCAAGCCGGGGACGCCTTGACGGAGGCATGTGCCATTACCGTGTCCTTCCTGCTGGTGCAGGCTGTGTGCTACCACATGAGCACCGAATGTGATGACCGGCACGCGGGAGATGTCGAGGAATGCGAGGCACGACGATTTATGCCCATCATGCATGGTGAGTTTGGGACTCACGTCGATTTCTGCGTCTTGTGGCTCGTCCTTCTTGCCTGTGGACTGATGCTTGGGCTTGCAATGCCACGGTTTTTCGTTAAGTGCAGGGGTTCATACGTTGCATGATGTTGTTTTTCCCTCGATGCCTCACTAGCTTGCTCGCTCTCGCTCTCTCGCCCTCTCGTCGGCTCACTTACTCAACCTCAGTTAGGGCACATTTGAGGCAAACCTTTTCTGTGCTTTGAGCCCAAACCTCAGGATGCTGGCCTCCACCTTGTGGTCCCTCCTACGAGCGCAGCGAGCGGCGACCATCGACCAGGAGGAGGCCCCGCGAGTCCCCGCACCCAAAACCCTAAACCCTACACCCTAAATCCCAAACCAATGATTTCGAAGCGAGATTCTCACTACGTAGACACAAGACCTTCTGCCTCGGCATGGGGTGCCTAAGCTCACCTGAATGACCTGAACGAAGCCATGCCGAAAACTCGTCAGGCTTCCGATGGCTTTGACTTCTTGCCGGCATGCATCGGTCAAACTTTGCCAGTGACGGCCGCGTGGTGCGCGCAGCGTGCCGGAGTGATCGGCCTCTATGGCGGCATAGAGGCCCGGATGAATTGGTATTTGACGCACTACCTTCACAACTGCGATGAGCATGAACATGAACATGAATGCCTAGCTCGAACCGTGCATCCGCAGCAAGCCGCCAACCGCACACAGATCGCGAACGCCTTGGTCATGTCAGCAGTTGCGCTGATCGGCTTGTTTTCCGTCACCAAGCTGGCAGATTGGATCAAGAACAGGATTCGCTTCTGTGCGCCCGAAGAAGATGCGGAGCGGGACGCAGAGAGCGGGAGCGAAGAGTCCTGGAATTCACCGGGGTCGAAGAGCGTGGCCAAGAGCTTGCGGAAAGCGGTGATGGCTTTCGGCATGCTCACGGGCATTTGTTGGGAAAAGGCCTTTGACACGTCTTATGAGACCATGCTGAACGAGAGGGCTCTCAGCATCCTGTTCGAGAACACATGGTGGGAAAAACACTTTGATGAAGGACATAGCGTCAAAGCTCAGGTGTTCATTGCGATTGCGGGTGGCCTATTGTCGATCGCTGTCATACCAGCATGGTACTGCTACATAGTACCTCGTGCCATGAAAGGAAAGAAGTTACACTCTCGGGAACTGAAGCTTGAAGGAAGCTACCGGCCCAAGATGCCCAAGGAAAGAACACCGACAAAACGTTTCGGTTTGTCCGACTCTTCAGACTCGTCTGAGTCAGATTGAAAGCATGGATAGGCTGCGGGCCGAGTTTTTGACTTTTGAATTTTGAATTTAATTAAATGCCAGCACGCACAGTCCGGGTAACTCCCGAAGCGGAGCGGCCGGTTGCGGGGACAGATTTCCGGCCAATGCGTTGGAAAGACCTGAGGCAAAGAGGTCCGGATCTGTGAGCTTCTTGTTGGTACTGCCATGGCAGTCCCCACTCTCCGCATTCTGAGCCTACTTAGGGCAGGTTCCCCTGAACCCCCACAAGTACCTGAAACGCTCCCCGTGAGGCTCTTCGTGGAAACGGCAGCTTTGCACGCCTCCTGTGGCGTTGGCGTCGCTCCAAGCAGCTGCACAGGCCGTATGTGTTGGCATGTTCCATGCGCTCGAGTTCTAAACCCTAAACCCTAAACCCTAAACCCTAAACCCTAAAAGTGTCATTCATCATGCCCTGCCTGATGTCTGCGGAGCTCCCCATGAAGCAGTCACAGTGCATGAAGAGGACGCCCCCCGCCCCCCAAAATGTTGTCAAAGGGGCTGGGCGATGGCTAGCATGATGCGAGCTAACCCTAAACCCTAAACCCTAAACCCTAAACCCTAAACCCTAAACCCCTAAAAGCTAAAGCTGTGGGACCCTACATAAAAAAGCCTTCCTGCAGGATTGTGCGCCGGTACATGCTCCTCTTGAGATGGGAGTTTCTTAGGGCCGCGCGATCCCAAAACCCTAAACCCTAAACCCTGAACCCTAGACCCTAAACCCTAAACCCTAAACCCTAAACCCTGAGCTGCTTCGAACCCAAAGCCCCACAGCCCTGAAGGCCCTGAACCCAAAACCCAAGCCTCCGGCGCAGCCACGAGGAGAAACCTGAGCTTGTGGCGGGTTTCGGGAAGCGCATGCTTTGCTGCATCTTCAGAGCTGACCGGGAGCTACACTTCGCTGTGGGCCCGGGCTGTTCATGCTTCCTTCGAACTGGGCTTCTCCACACTTTCCCATGCAATGGCCCTGTGCACCGGAAAAGCTGCATACGGTTGATGATAGAAATCCTGCATGACCCATAATAAGGAAGATACCATAAATCCCATAGTTTAGGGTCCTTAAGGTAACGCAGGATTGATATCATCAACAGTAGCTCGCAAGGGTGTCGGTGTGCTCGATATGGAGAGCAGCCTCGCCCAGTGCGTGTGCGCGAATCAGCTGCCCTTCCGGGAAGTCTCGGCAAAGGAACCCATTCCCAAAGCCGAAACCATGAGGCTAGCTCTAAATTAGGGGCCCTTTTGAGGTCCCCCCAAAAGTACGGCACCCGTAAATAAAGGACCCTAAAACGGACCCTACTTTAGAGAGCCGCCCATGAACCCTCAACCATCTTACGGCTTCGTCCGGAAGCTGCACGCATCACGCCAGGGCTTGTTAGCGTCGAAGGAATAAGCCCAAGCCCAAACCCTAAACCCCAAACCCTAAGCCCTAAACCCCTGAAATCCCTAAACCATAAACCCTAAACCCTAAACCCTAAACCCTAAGCCCTAAACCCTTGAAATCCCTAAACCATAAACCCTAAACCCTAAACCCTAAGCCCTAAACCCTAAACCCTAAACCCTAAGCCCTAAACCCCTGAAATCCTCTAGGCATACTTCCACAGGTTCCTTCCTCTCTTCGCTTTCGGAGGTGCCCGTAGGAGGGAAGGTTTGAACTTGGGACGCTTATCGGTGAACATCGGGGCGCCCTAGGAGAGGATGGAATGCTTCTATCGGCCCCTGATATTAGGGTTTAGGGGTTTAGGGATTTCAGGGGTTTAGGGCTTAGGCCCGAAACCAAGCCAACATCGGAGGGATGAGGGGCACAGAGAAGGAGGCAGGTTCTTGCAAGTCGCCTTCTAAACGGTTTCGCTTTGAAGGCAGGTTATTCAGCTGGTCGTGAGTCGTGAGTCATGAGTTTGTAAGGTTTAGGGTTTAGGGTTTAGGGTTTAGGGTTTAGGGTTTAGCTCTCAGGTGCTTCGGGTTTAGGGTTTAGGGTTTAGGGTGACGTGCTGGCTCTTCAGCAGATTGCTGGGGGTCTCTTTACGCAGCTCCCCTGAGAATGTCAGGGTTATCCATTCCCGTGGTCATGCCGGACGCTTTGGAGCCTTCTTGGCGGACATCATGAGCCGAAGCCCTACAACCCTAAATCCCACATTAAACCTGTAAACTCCAAACCCTTAGGTCCTTAAGCTGTACTTTTTTAGACTCCGGCTGCCAACGTGAGAGCCCTCTGCTCTGGGATTCGTGACCTTTGGCAGCTCCGCGTCCTTCGGTGAGGCAGGTCCTAGGGTTTAGGGTCTGGGTCCGAACCCCAAAAGCTCCCAACCCTCAACCCATAAATCCATAAAGTCCAGTTTTTCGGCCATCCTGGGCCGAAGTGCAGCCAGGGGGGCGGTTCCTAGCGCTTGCACCTGCAGGCACTTCTGGAGCCAGGAGGGTTTCACCCCGAAGCAGCCGAGAGGAGGAGTTTTGCTGCTCTGCGCGTGCAGGCCCAAAAAAGAGAGTGGCAGACATTGCGAGCCGGTAGTTCTGAGGCAGCCACCAGGTGCTTCGTAGCTTGGGGATGAGGTCTCATAGGCTTGCATTAAGGGAAAACAGGAGGGACCCCTAGAAGGGACCCCTAATCTAATACCCTATAGAACCCGTATATACCCCTTATATAGTCTCATTAAGCCCCTATATAACCCCAAAGGTCTCTTTAGTCCCTTGATTGCAAGACATACGGAGCTGGTAGTCGGTTTCCTAGTCTGGGGGGGTGATTCACTGGACATCCTACACCCCAAGCCCTCAATCGTAAAACCCTAAACCCTAAACCCTAAACCCTGAACCCTAAACCCTAAACCCCAAACCCTATTCCCCAAAACCCTAAACCCTAACGGCGTCACATCGTACAGGCTGGGTCTACGAAGTTCTCATGCAAAAACTTCGAGAGTCTTTTTAGGGTTTAGGGTTTAGGGTTTAGGGTTTAGGGCCCCAAACCCTAAATCTTAAACCCCAAGCGAAACGGGTCAGGGATGGTAGCTCTCATGGTCGGACCTGTCAACCTGATAACTACCTAGGGTCCGAAGGTACTTTTAAAATCTACGACTACCGAGAAACGAGACACAAAACCCCGCCCACTCCAACGCCCCCAAACGCCCCTGAAACCTCTGCACCCCTAAACCCTAAACCGTAAACCCTAAACCCTAAACCCTACATCCGGAATGCCGCTTTCGCAACCCACTCGGCAACTCGTTACAGAGACCCCTAAATCCTGTACCCAAACAGCTCATGCTCTGCTCCATTTCGGCTGATGCCCGCGAGCTCTTGGGCTTGTGGCTCCATGAATCCACGGCTCCGCAGTACTGGCCGACACCTCAGAGAGACCACAATCCCGGAACCTTATCATAAGATGACCTTGTAGTCCCTACAATGGACAGCTTATAATGGGAACTACCCAGCGGAGGGTTGCTGAAGTACAGCAACACTAGGTTTCTCTCTTGCTCTCAGGGTTTTAGGAGCAGACACCCTGAACCGTTGTGGGAACCCTACACCCTCATTTTAGGAATCCTTAAAGGAACCCCAAACCAAAAAGCCTTAAACCCAAACCCTAAACCCTAAACCCTAAACCCTAAACCCTAAACCCTAAACCCTAAACCCTAAGCCTGAAAGCTTCCTTATAGGAACCCTTTCAGGAACCTGTCGGCGCAGTACGCTGGTGCCCTTGGACTAGAGACCCCTGTCCCCAAAATACGGAGGTCTAGGGTTTAGGGTTTAGGGTGAAGGGGTGGCAATATCATGCTTTTCGATTTAGGGTCTATGGGGTTGGATATTCTTAGTATGCCATGAGCCCGCGCTTTGTGACGATGTAAGGCCTCTATTTCGAAGGCCCTAGCCCCCAAACTCTTCGTTCGCCCTGAAACCCGAACACAGAGTTTAGAAGTTCCCTGAACCCTAAACCCTAAACCTTAAACCCTAAACCCTAAACCTTAAACCCGTGGCCATGTCGGTTTTCGGTGTTCTGGGGATTTAGGGGGTTTGGAAGCTTAGCAGTTCGGGTTTTGCATTGGAAACCCTAGACCCTGAACGCTAAACCGTAGGCCCTAAACCCTAAATCATAAACCCTATATCCTAAACCTAAAACCCTAAACCCTAAAATTTTAAAGCCCTAAACCCTAAACCCCAAAACCCCAAACGCTAAACCCTAAACCCTAAACCCCAAAACCCCAAACGCTAAACCCTAAACCCTAAACCCTAAAACCCCAAACGCTAAACCCTAAACCCTAAACCCCAAAACCCCAAACGCTAAGCCCTAAACCCTAAACCCTAAAACCCTAAATCCCACCAAACCCCAAGCCCCTGGGCCTCCGAAGTCTGGGCCCCTCCCAAAACTCCGAACACACCCCGACCCCCCTGAACCCTAAACCTTAAATGCCAAGATCCGGCTAGGGTTTAGGGTTTAGGGTTTAGGGTTTAGGGTTTAGGGTTTAGAACCTTCATAATCCTCATAGTTACCTTCCAGAAAAGGAACCCTTCAAAGAGCCCGTCGAGCCTTCACCCTGCGCCCGCCTGGGGTGCATGGCTGCGCCCGCCGAGGTGCGGTGCTGGTGGCCCTTCCAGCAGCGCCCTCATTCCAGCATCCGTCATTGGCGGGGTTACCCCTAAACCCTAAACCCTAAACCCTAAATCCTAACTCCTAAACCCTAAACCCTAAACCCTAGACCCTAACTCCTAAACCCTAAACCCTAAACCCTAGACCCTAAACCCTCAGGTCGTTTCAGGAGGCTCGTATGGCCCTTAGCCCCAAACCCTTGGAGCCTACGTCCTAAGCCCAAGCCCAGTTTGTAGGGGGGTTCGGCTTCAGGTTCCCTGGCTCAAGGAGTTTGGGTTTAGGGTTTAGGGGTTTAGGGTTTAGGGTTTAGGGTTTAGGGTTTAGGGTTTAGGGTTTAGGGTTTAGGGTTTAGGGGTTTAGGGTTTAGGGTTACCTTTTTGGGTGTTGGGGTTTAGGGGTTTAGGCTTTAGGA